TTAACGGTTGAGGCACTACGTACGTACGGTACGTTAACTACAATCCGAAAGCGAAGATGCAGAAAGAAAGTCTGACCCATCACTCAAAGAGTGATCATTACCGTTATTGACATTAGTTTGCAACATTTAATATGATAATATGTATGTAAATACAGTGTATATGTATATATATATATATATATATATATATATATTAATATGTATATTAAAATACTAATAACAAAATAAATATCTATAAAATAGTATAAAAAATAAAACCAAAATTATTCATAATACCCGCCAGCAGTGTGAAAGAGAATCGCTTACAATGTCAACAAAAATGAAAACAAAATACAAAGTAATGCAATATTGGAAAATAGTAAGAAAACAAAAAAATTATGAAATTTAATGGAATATTTAATTCGAAATTTACCACGGGCGTTCCGGTGAAGGAAAACGTAGTGGTGAAACCTGCACGTCGAAGGAGGTTCACAACCCCCGCACGGGGCTAGCGCGGTGGACTAGGACCTAAGCCCTCGCTTTAGAGGACGTCCGTGCCCCGATCGATGAGGATTGGAACCGAACATAAATATCTCACCTGTCGGCCTCGGTGACCACGACTTCCAGGTGGTCGTCAGACGCGTCGTTGTCGTTTTCGTTGTCGTCGTCGTCGTAGCGGCGATCGGAGTCGCTGTCGTCGGTGTCGGAGTGCGAGGGCGAGCCGACGGAGTCGACGCGCAGCGCGCCGGCCACGCGGTTGTGGCCCATGCTCAGCACCAGGCTGAGCAGCGCGTTCATCTCGTGCCCGCCGCTGGCCGGGTCCAGGTCGTGCAGGGCGTTGAGGCTCTCTGCGCGGCGAAGGCCGGGTTAGGAAAGGCGGGCGGCGGTCGGAAGCCGTCGGGGCGCGGGGCGCGGGCTCACCGTGGTCGCTGTCCTCCTCGAAGGGGATGCAGATGCGCCGCGGACAGGCCTTCTTGGCGGGCGGCGCGCGCGGCGGCGGCTCGCGCAGCTCGGGGTGCCGGCGCAGCATGGCGCCGCGCATCGCCGCGCGGATCGCGCCCCGCGCCAGCGCCTGCAGCCGCGCCGGCCGCTGCTCCTCTGCAAAGCGGTCGTCTAGTCGTCGTCCGGCCACCGGCCTAGTTCACGGCTCACATGCACAGTCTTCTATACCGAGCACCGTGATCGAAAACCACCCGCGAAATGTTGGCTTCTCTTCTCATACGCTACGGTGTATGGCATTCCTGTCTTACGAAAACTTTCAGACGTCGAAACAGCTAGATTGGTTTACTTCGGCTACTTTCGCAGGTTAAATGCATACGGCATTTTGCATTGGGGTAATGCCGCCGATTCAATAGAATCTTTGTCCTGCAGAAACGTGCGATATTCAAAATTTGCCATTTACGAGGTTTAAAACTATAGTGAAACAAAAACTTAATACTAAGGGTTATTATACAACTTCTGCGTACTTGGACGACAAAAATAGTGGTAGTGATCCGTTTAGTTCATGGAGGTAGTCTCGATCTAAGAAGGTGTTTGAAATAAATATTGTAAATGTTAAATGTATCCATATGTATATTTAAAAAAACAACACCTAGAATTTTTTGCTCAATCTAACTTACAAATGAGCAGTAGAGTTTAATTAATATGACGATTATAAGTGTAATTTGCTTAGCTTTCGTATGAAATAAAGACTATTTGAATTTTGAATATTCTGTTTAAAATTATAAATAGCGAAAATAACTTGCCTTATCGTGACAATGTGACGTCAAACTGGAGACCGAAACAATGATTTATCGCCGATATTTACTTTCGTACTCCAACCGCTTGATAACCCGCGAGGCATAAACAGATAAGTGAGCCGGGGTTCAATGGAAACGGAATGGATGACTTACGCAACACTATAATCCTATCGTCAATATATGCACGCATGACTAATGCATTGCAAACAGTTAGACAAGGTTCTCATTGGGGTAGGCAGAGACTGTTAATCAGCACTTTGCACGATCCTGGCAAACCTCTCCTGCTTCACTTACATTCATCAACATTTCTATACAAGCCCTCATATTCTTCTCACTACGCACTGCAAACTTTTTAAGAATATGCTCGATTTGCTCTAAAACGTCCTTCGTAGCCTTCTTTCAATGTTTCCTTCTATGTTGGCTCTATATGTATATCTCTTTTGCCACTTTACTTTCATTCGTACACACCGTATGTCCGAACCACATGAACATGCCCTTCTCGCTTATGGTCAGTATGTCCTCTTTCAAACCACACCATTCACCGATCAGTATTCCTCACTCTGCCACTTAATCGCACGTCACATAATTTACCGAGTACAACACTAGCTACAACTTTTTTACTTCTATCAACCAATGAAGGTACGACTTTACCATGTCTGAAGAATGTCTGAACCATCCCTATATAGAGATTTTAAGTTAAGTACGCTATTGTCGGTCGAATATCGGTTCAACACGCACCAACACACTCGCAAGGCAAGTTTTAGAACCCATCAAATAGACCGTAAGCTTTTTTATGGGCTTGAAGATCAGGTTCACACTGATTGTTCACACCGATGAGACTCACCGAGCCTGATGAGATCCGGGTTCTGACCCTTGAGAGGCAACCTCATAGTTGCAAAAGATACGTTGAGCAAGCTGCGCGTGCTCCACTCGTTGGATCCTAAGCGTCTTACTTGCAGCAGGTTATCATTCAGCGGCAGCACCAAGATACCGCCCACCTAAAAAACAAACATAAATCACTAGACATAGCCTTATCTTCTTCTGGGAGTCACGAAAAAGTTTATCAATGATTGATGGAACGCCTTAAACATAATATGTAAATCTAAAATTTTTGGCCTCCAAACCCAATTTTCTATATAATTAGCATAGAGTGCAGTATGTATGTAAGATTATAAAAAGTGGGTATAAAACAGGAAACAAACCTTAATAAGCTGTTTGAAGTAATTCTGGTACTCTTCAGGGCAGCCAGCGCCGCAGTAGACGCGGTCGTAGGGCGCCTGCAGCGGGGCAAGGCACAGTCCGTTGCCTGCACACAACAAAGCATTTAGCTCTTTGCAGATATATGCAAAGCATCCGTGTCTTGACTTATATGTTTACACGTGAGGTAAACGATATATATATAGGATAAACCAAAAGCGTTCTTGTTTTAAGATCGCAGAATATTTATTGGAAAATATAGAGAATTCAGAAGACGTCGCTTATGCTTTTATTGTTTATACATAAACGTACGACATTATCAGGCGTAGTTCCAAAAATTTACAAACAGAATAAAAATTATCTACTGTTGGAGTACATATTTTGGCTTACACTTGAAAAGTTGATAAGTTCCCAATGGCCAGAAGGTTTACAAGTATAATATTATTGGGCAGAAGCGTCAGGCAAGGAGAATGTTTATCACTGAAGTTGTTCATTGCCGTTGCATAAACATTTTTCCAAATTGTAAATTATTCAAAATCAACATTTAAATCAAAACAGATTTACTTTACTGAACATCTTCAGGAAAGAAGAAAAGTAAATTTATGTCAATATCAATATCATCATCATTCAGCCATACGACGCCCACTGCTGGGCATAGGCCTCCCTCAACGATCTCCACGATAATCGGTCCTACGCTGCCCGCATCCATCGGCTTCCGGCAACCTTTACCAGATCGGCGGTCCACCTGCTGGGGGGGCCTACCCACTGAGGGTCGTCCGGTGCGCGGTCGCCATTGAAGAACCTTTCCGCCCCAACGGCCATCGGTTCTCCTAGCTATGTGCCTCGCCCACTGCTACTTCAGCTGAGCAATTCTTCGAGGTTAGGTTACCTTAGTTCTACGAATTTCCTCATTTCTGATTCTATCACCTAGGGAAACACTGGACATCGCTCTCTCCATTGCCCACTGAGTAACCTTGAGCCTTCTTAGGAGGCCCATAGATTTATAAATAATAATAATAATAACGCGCACACACTCATAGGCCCGCACTAGGGACACCCTGTATCGCGGGTGTCATGGACACACACAGACAACCACAAATTACACCCAAACTCTCTTGAGAAATAAATGTAAGCCATACAAATATTTCTCCCGGCACAGGAATCGAACCCGGAACCTCTTGCGTGGCAGTCTAGCATGGTAACCGTTCGGCCACGGAGGCAAATAGAATGAAATGAATAACTAACAAACCAAAAATACTAAGAAACAACTAAAAGAAATCTATTAAATATTATGAATGAATCAACTTGGAACTGTGGTCACATAAAAAATCCTAAGTTACCATGTAGACTAAACCTCAAAAAATATTGTACTTGACATCAACCTTTTACCATTGCCTAACATACGGAAGTCAAATTTGGATTTACAAATTTTAAAAAATGCAACAGGAAAAAGCATTCTGAATCTGAATAAAAATAAATAGAGTAAAGAAATAAGAGATGCACTATTATAGATACAAAAGGCAGTGGGCTAGGCATATTTCATATAACAGATAGTACCATGGGATGGACACTACTGACAACAACAAACTAGAAGAGAGTTAACAAAAAAGTGTAGAAAGCCTAGAAAGTGGAGGACTGATAACATCATATAAAGTAGCCAGGAAAAACTCGTCAGTTGTTGCCAAAGATATGGTAAAATAGAACCGGTCGGGGGCCCAGTTGGGGGGCCCCAACCGGGCCCCCAACCGGGCCCCCAACCGGGCCCCCCAACCGGGCCCCCAACCGGGCCCCCCAACCGGGCCCCCCAACCGGGGCACCCAACCGGGGCACCCAACCGGGCCCCCCCAACCGGGTCCCCCAACCGGCCCCATAACCAGGGATGCAACC